TTGTACAGGAAACTGCCTTACGCTTGCATACAAATGTGTGAAAATAAAAGAATTATTTTAATCCTCTTCAACCCCTTCCTTGTTAAAAGACGTAATTGCTCATTTTTAAGGCGAACAGCTAACCGATACAGCCGCGAAGTAGCGTTCGCCTTTGCTCGTCTGACGGTTTAATATAATGAACATAACTGGTCAATGCTGCTGGTCGTTATGCCTGGCAGCTGCTACTCAAAGTTCCTGACGCTAAACGGTCTCTAGAAAAGGGCTTGTCAATCGCTGGAAGCCAAACTGCAGGGGTTGTTGTCCGTTGAGGCAGAGGAAGGAGGGTCATCTTTTTAACTCTTTGTCAAATGGATTAAAGACCGCTATCATACTTCACCACCTCCACTTAATAATGGCGTTATATTAGCTAGAAGAGAGTAAGATAAGGCGGCGCTCTAGGCCCACCTGCCTGCCTTTAACTTCCTCTGTCTTTAGGGACGAAGACAGGAAACCGGTGACACGTCAACCTTTGACCATGACTTATTCAACCGTGCACTAACGAGAACCTATAAAGTTGCCATCGGAGGCGCTTAACCACCTTTTCTTTTTCACAAATTCTGTAGTGTTGCTTGGCTCCTTTTTTAACACGATGGAAAAAAGCTACATTGCCAATACCCCGTAGCTAACTAAACTACTAGAAAAAGGTTCTTTTTCATATAAACAACATAACAGTATAAATAAATTAAATAATTACAATTATTTGGGTTATTATATTCTCAACTGCGCTTTATTTTAATACAAACTGGTATGCTCCAAAAAAAATTGGTAGGAAGTAACATACACTTGCAACTTTTTAAGGTTTATTAGGAAAAAAAATTTTATGACTTAGTAAAGAAGGCTGGTTAAAACTTAAATTTGGGTGCGAGTTATATAGTAGCCAAGAAGCTATTTTACAATAGTATATATAATTACTTCGTCTAATGTGTATAGAAAAGATGAAATTATCACGCAACGCAAAATCAGAATATTGCCTACATCTTAATAAGTAATAGACGTACTTAAAATAAACTTTTGAAGTCAATAATAATTAAATAACAACATAAACATTAAAGAAAATATAGTAATACCTAGTAGCTTAATTATTAATTAACGCACTTCTAAAAAGATCTATTAACCCAAACTTAGGTTGCCCTAAAGTTAGTATAATTTGTTGATAATTGACTTTTTCTCTCAATCAGGAGGGATCGCAGATAAATCACAAATAAAAGTGACATTATTTTTTTAAATTAACAAAAAAAAAAAAAAAAAAACTAGCGCTTAAGCGAGTCACGTGGGCTGTTATAATACGTCCCGTCCCTTGGCTCGTAAATAAATGTGCTCACCAGTAGGACATTGGTGTGTCTGGTGAGCCTGTCGTAAAGAACCAACCACGGCATGGCGTTGGCAGACAATGTTTAAAGGTTCCAGCTGGAGGCCCAGGTGAAGAACATCATTTCGCACAAACCACGGCGCCTTTGTTAAAACACACGCAGCAATTTTGTTCTATCGCACTTGAAGTGCTGACGCTATCGCAGTGGAATCATAAGCCCCAGCAGCAGATGCGTATGTCATTACTGGCTGGATGTAAGACAAATACAATTGCAATTGCCTTTTGTTTCGCAGGTAAAGCTTACTCTTGCCGTAAAGTAAAGGATCCCTGGTTGCTGCCTTGTCCTTCGCCCCTATATATAGTCCACGTGAGGCAGCTGTCAGAAAATTTTGTTGTCGATGACTCCAAAGTACTTCACTTGAGCACACTATGGAATTTTCACGCCATTTAAAGTTAAGGCCACCAACAAAAGGACGTGTTTCTTTGAAATTAATATAGCTTTGCTCTTCACCGCATTTATAGTAACCCTCCAATTACGGCCCTAGACAGCAAGGGCGCCAAGATAGCGCTTGTAGATGTTTGCATAGCAAGGTGGGAGACTACAAAGAGGAATATACGGTCATATCATCAGCGTAAAGGAAGATTCCGTGTATGTGGGCCGGACGGCAAGAGGACGTCACTCATGTAAATTGCAAATAAAAGGGGTGAGAGCAGGGATCTCTGAAAGACCCCTGCTGTCATATATCGACGCGGCGAACGAATATCTCACGCACACGCTTAAACTGTGCCCATTCAGTTATGATTTCATCACGTTCTAAAGTTCAAGAAGGACGGATAACTAGCGCAGTTTGTGCAGTAGACCTTCATGCCAAACTTGGTCAAATGCCTTTTCAACGTCTAAGAAGACAGCGCCTCCTGCCTTTTGGTTAAAAGCGGGAATGGTTTCAGACAGTTAAGCGGAGGAGATGCTGGGTTCGTTGAGTGCCCTTTCCGAAACCCAAACTGAAACTCCGGTAAAACTTTCTGAGCGTCCACCACCTTTTTAAGACGGCGCAGCAAAACGGCCTCGCTCAACTTTGCCGTCTGCTAAAAGTAGTCTGACAAATCGGTACTTGTAAGATGCTGATTCCGGTTTAAGTGTTTTTGGTAGCGTCACCACGGTCACCGTCTTCCATCGGCTCTGAAAGACTCCAAGGAGCATCAAAGATTTTATATGGAGGTAAAGATAGTGCCAAAGCTTTGATCTATTCTGCAACCGCACCCTAAATACAGAAAAAATAGAGACTGGGCGTGCAGTTCGGAGTTTAATACATGTGCGGGTACGTACTAGAAATCCCGCGTGAACCTTTACTAGACATCCGTTCCCGAACTGCTGCTTCAAATTCTATGAATACGCTGGCTATGACTTTAAAGGGTAGTACAAAAGTCACAAGTTGTAACTTTAATAAGCAAATAACTTTTTCGAAGCTGCGTAAGGCGGTCATTTTAGTAATTAAAGTCTGGGTCCCTATTTTACCATGTGTTAGTTCAAGGGTTATGATTTGAACTAATAAACTTTACTTATAAAAAAACGAACACCATAATCCTCATACAACATAAGGTCGGTGGACCCTTCACGGCATGACCTTTTAAGAATGTTTTATCTTTTTTTTAACATTGGGATACTACTGTCTAAATTTAGAAGCACTTTAAACTATCTGATTTAAATTCCCCTCCTCGATGGTTAAGGAATTATTCATCACCAGTTCCTTCTCCCAAAGGGTTATCGACACTGTCCAAAACGACTGAGTGGTTTTGCACAGGCGTATTAGACCGGGATCGGTCACGTTTAATATAGTGAATACTAGTAGATAATACTATTCGTATACTGTAATTTCCTAATGCTATTCTAGGACGCTACCATTTATGAAATATAAGCCCTCCTTAGCCTACCACAACAAACTACATATATTATTCAGCTCGATGTATCACGTAGCACGAAGTAAGTTAACCGAGCCAATCTAATTAAAAATGTTATGATTTAGTTAATAACCTTCTCACTTTGCTGGTCTAAAGCAATTTTTAGCGTGATAATAGGATTATGTACTATTTCAGAATCGGTTTCAAGCTAATTCTAAAGCTTTTAGAACCGATGCAAATAGAGTTATCTATGATACCCATGATAGCAATCTTCAAAGTTCCGAACGGTACAAGACAAAGATATAGTTCAAGAAAACAGTACAGGCTTTCGGACGCATCTATCCACTCCAGGTGCAGGCATTGCTACCACTTAGCCTTATATTACACAAAGTCAAAGGACCTACCCACACCTTTGTCTAGGAAAAAAACGGTTCAGTGAGGTAATAATTCTAGTATATCAACACCGGTTTGATCATCGAGAGAATATTCGCAAGCTAACAGCTGAGCTGTAAATCCTTTTTAGTCTAACACCGTTGGCCATAATCCTTCATGAATTCAAAAGAATGGGACCTTTTAAAGATCTCATGTGACTTATTAGTTTTCTCATTTTCCAGAGTAGTCTATTGGTTCAAGAGGGCTTTTGTCTGTTAGACTAGATCACTCTTTCTTAGGACTCATCAAAGTGCACGGTAACTCTGGTCACTTTTCCTTAAAAGCACGATAACCATGTTACTGCCTACTGTGTTCTGATCATTTAGCTGAAGAGATAGGATGATTAATTACGAGAGCCTACTGTATAATTTCAGCTCAAGTCAAGTCAAGAATTTCGAAATATAGTTAGCCAGCACCCTTCAATATAGTGACTACATTTCACTTGCCATTTATCCTTGGGTGGCGTCCGACACGTATACATCATCGGGTGAAGTTTGAAGTCACATCGGATCCTATAGGTAGAATCCATCGACGAATTCCACCTTAGGGCCGATTTTCTTCACTCGCTTAACGATAGTAACCTACACCGTTATTGTGTTAAATTGTTACTTTCTTAAAAGAGTGTACAACATTGCAGGAAAGCGCCGAGGATAGCCAACCTTTAGGTTTCCTATTCAGAGCCCAACCATATAAGTTGAGGTATAACACTGGTCTTTCGGCCTACCCAACCTCAGATTAAGCCCAAATAATATCCTAGATCGCTGTGACCACATGGCAATATAGGATGCCCGCGCAAGGTAAGCGTTGAGGATAATAAAAAGTATGACGTTGGCAAATTCGCGAGCATCGAGAGAGGAAGTTTCCCATTCTCTTCTACATGCTTTTTGGAGGGCTTAATTATACAAAATATCCCCTTTGGAGGGGTAAAATAGTGTTCACATCCAGATTAGTTAATCATTCCTTTCACTATGAGATAAAGATGCTAGATATTAATATATTAATATCTTTTTTATATACATTTTGATAAAAAAAATTATATAATATGTTTTACTTTAAATTATATATATATTTATATATCTTGTTACCTCTCGCTCTCCTTTATTATACATAACAAAAATGCTAGACGCCAATTGAGCAGTGAGCGCTAACGAGCGCTCTTCAATAATTGGTACATTAGTTTTTTTTTGCGAGTTTTTGGTTGGTGTGTCGAGGAAGCAATAAGCCGTTCATAAATTATATAGCAATGACGTAAACTATCGTTTCAAATAATTCACGGCGCCTCCGTCATCGAGCGTGGCAAGCTTGTTATGACCCATGTATTGCGAAGAGGCTATTAGCTTAGACAGCAGATGCATATTTTATGATTGACCGGCCTTACAAAGCAAAATAGCGTGGCACGATCGTTTGCTTCTGGCGCAAAGTAAATGATAAAAAAAATCGCTTCGCCATCGAGATTTACGTGCGACCGCCACCGTGCTTATAAAAAGTTAAATTAACAAAAGAAAAATATACATATCAAAATTAAATTTTCTAATAACATTATATGTGTAATATATATAAATATATTTCATAGTAAAGTATGGTTAAGGAAAAAGAGAAAATGTGATAATAATATTTATTAAAAAAAATAAATATGTATAAAGTATAAAATATAGAAAGGAATTTATAATCTTTACAATAAAAAAAAGGAATACAAATATAATATATATAAGAAAAAACAGTTATAAATGTGCACTAGGAATATAATTAAATAAAAATCTAGCTATCAAGCAAATTTTTATGTGAAATATAAATTTCCTTAAACTTTTTTTTTTTATAGTTTCAATTCTGTGTTAATTTTCATTATAAATTTTTATTTAATTCCTTATTTATATTAGTTATATTTTCGTTATAGGCACTTGAAAGCTCGTCACTCAAACAGGCTTTGCCTTTGCTTTTGAAGCCGAATGTATATTTAGTCCTTTAGGGTTAGGAGCCATTTAACTATGAAGTTTATACTATTTTTAAATGGAAATTAATGTTGAAATATATTTATGGAGTTTTATCTAAAGTCTGTCTACAAGGTTTTTCCTTAAACCAAACCTATGCGATTCTTCTTTGAGTTACCAGGTCGTCAATAATAAACAAGCAAGGCAAAATACCCCGCGGGCAACTACAGGCAAAAAAGAGGTCTAAAAGAGAAAATCCCTCTGCTTTACTAATCGTAAAATTATATATATATACTTAAAAAAAAAAATATTAAATTTAACACACGGAATCAATTAAAATTTACCAATTAAGTTCGGTGTCAAACTAAATTGTATGGTTGTAAGAAGATCACACAGTTAACAATTAATGCCTTGTTTATTTATTTTAACTTTATAGGGAATTTGTTTTTTTTTTTTCTATTAAAATTTATACTGATTTCCTCGCAGGGTAAACGGGTGTCACAAAAATGTATCTACAGCTTCTAAAATCTAATATCTACTAAACCTTTCCTTTTAAAAGAAATCCTGAGAAAATTATTTATGTCTGCTGTATGGCATTTTCAATGATGCTGCCTTTTTTTTTTTTTTCCTTTTTACTACAAATCTCTGTCATCCTAGGTTCAATCTGCTACCTCATTAGAGTGGAATGTTCTGCGCGTCGTTTTGAGCTTGGATTCAATAACCACCATGATCAGTATAGCTTGTGCTCTTTTTCTTAATAAATTAAGCTGTTTAAATTTATCACAAAGGATGAGTGTTCGAAAATAACATGCCTTCAGTAGCGAAGACGAGAATAAGAATGAAAATCAGAGTGAATAAGAGACACCACTCTGCGCGTCTTTTGCCGTCTTGGTTATTTAACTGTTTATGTTACATTTCCTTTATATTTAGATATATGATTATCCACTTTTTATTTCATTTTTTAGTTCCTTTTTCCCCTAAAGTCGGAGTTAATAATTTAAGAATTAATGTCTATATAGCCTTTATAATCTAAGTACAAAATTGTAGTTCAAAGTTTTTAACTATTATGATTAGTTCGTTATGACAATATTTTAGTAGACAATGTTTGTAAGATTGTAATTTTAAAAATTTAACTATAAGAATCCATAGGAGGTAATTTTTGTCTCCACAGTGCAAATTCGGTATTAGCACCAAGTTACTCTTTTTTCAATAGCCTGCGCTTAACTTACAGGCCACCCGCCAAAGTCTTTAAAAAAAAATAGAAGGTAATGACTACCTCTTCATTACGGGACAATAAAATGGTCACTCTTTCTTACCATTTCATTCCGAAGGTCTTCGTCATCATGCGGAGATTTATATATCCTGAATAATACCTAGATTTATAAGGTTAGAGGGAACAGAGGGTATTAAAAGTTGTATATACGTAAGTTAACGACCGAAGATGTGAGTCGTCAGCGGAGCTCAGTGGTTAGAGCATTTGTCGCTCAGTCTCAAGGCGGCGGGTACGATTCCCGTCTGTCACAACTCGCATTTTCTGGTCTGGTAGTTACGTGTACAACTCCTCTACAAACCAAAATTCTGATAGAAAGACTAGGTAAAGAACGAATTTGTGAAAACACGCAATTTATTATATTAGCTTAAGATAAGCAGGAAAGGACTAAGCTTAGCGCTAGCCATACATAAAAATTAGGAATTCTAAATGCTGCCGCTGCCCTGGGTGTTGAGGAAAGAGGTAGGATCACCGGCGTAGTGGCTTGAGTGCTGTGTGAAGAGGAAAGCAGGTCCGTAGGGGTATTGACGGGAGTTAACGTACTTTGATTAGTAGAACTCGGAGCCTTCAAAGCGGTACATTTATTACTATCAAAAGTGTTGTATCCTTTAATTTCCCCCTCATAAGTGCTTTGTTCACTTAAGTAACTTAAATTCTCATAATGAAGACGAGAGCAGCAAAGAAAATTTTCATCAAGAGTAATAAACCTTATAGACGTTAGATTATAATAAAGGATAGAACAGAAAATAAAAAAAAACAAGGATTTTGCTTACATTTTAGTCTTTGTATTAAAAGCTTCTGGCTCAATTTCAGTTATTGGGTCCCCAACTGAGTGCCTATTATCAGTCGAAAAATAAAATTAAAAAGACAAATGTTTTTATATCTACTCTTTTGTGCAAATAAATCCGAAAGCGTACAACTATAATACGAAAGACTTTAGATTTGTAAATACATTATTTGAATAAGGCTTTATACTGAAACCAGACTTATTCTTGTTATTAAATGGTTCGGTACGATTTTGGTAGTTGTAGACTTATAAGTGAGTAAATTTGTTAGAAAGCTCAAGTTATTACTTATAATGAATTCCTATAAATAAATAATCAACCATCCTGATGTTTACTTACAAATCTTTCAAACTTTCCAAGACGAGAACATTGCTTTTCGGAGGGCAGTAAGTCGGTTTTCACTTAAATCTCTTTTTGTACAATGCAAGAGCAGTTAGCCTTAATATTAGAAAATAAGTTTATAAAGAGCTTATACAAATTTTCTAAAGCGCTTAGTTCGGCAAAGGAATTATCCTCTATTGATGATATGCTATTTTTGAAAAGATGCCTGAATAAAAAAGTGTAATAAATTAAAGTGAGTATCGGTAAAGATGCATAAGGCAAAGGGAAAAGGAAGGTAATATATTATCACACTTCACTATTATTAAACTAGACTTTTCCTTGTTTTTAAATGGTTTGGTACGATTTGTGCAGTAATCTTAAAAATGAGTACAAAAGAAATTCGCCTTAAAATAATAAAATAAATTTTATAGAGCTTTTACAAATTTCTTAAAGTGCTTTGTTCAGAAAAAAAAACCACCGTCTAATGTTGATACGCGATTAAATGATAAAGACCTAAATTAAAAAGTTTAATTAACTTTTGTTGTACAAAACAAAATAAATCAGTCTTAAAATAGCAAATAATTTAAGTTATAAAGGTTAACAATGCTGTCGTGCGCTAAGTTCGGCAAAGGAGCCGTCTTCTATTAAGGATATTGAATTAAAGGCCAGGAGCCTAAATTTAAAAAGTGAAATAAGTCGATGTGAATACGGTAAAGCATTTCTAAGGTAAGGTAAGGTAAGTAATATTATTTTATTGTTACATTTTTATATTACTAAAATTATACTTTCATTAGTTGTTAATTGGTTTAGTATGTTTTGATAGGGGTAGACTTACAATTTAGTCAAACTCTTGAGTCCTTGGAAGAATTCTTTTTTAATGATAGTCACATTGTTCAAATTTAAATCCCTTGTAAATAAATTATTAGTAATTAGGTGACGATAATATTAGTATAACTTTATCAAAACGCATATATTCACAAATTGTCATGATGTAAAGCTCTCTAACTTGAAAAATCAAAGAAATCAAAAACCAAATATTAAAAATTACCAATCTTTAAGTTCTTTTTAATTTTAAGCTACAGTTAAAAAACTCTATTACTACTATCAAGAGGCTTACCGCAGCCTTGACAAAATTAAAATACCGTTTATGTCAGATAATAACTTACAAACTTATCACATTAGGGGGAACTTCGTCACTTGGAAAAGTTATTAAGTTGCACTGTGATAGATCCCTTTTCAGTATCCAACAAAGTTAAAAAATTTATACATATTTGTAAAATAGGGTCTGTGTAAGTAAAATGGGTCAATTTATTAGCAATCAATAGTGTTTAACCTCATCCAGTTTATTCGAAAAAGCTTTAAAAACATTAAAAAATGGAACAGGCAAATTATTTTAAACTATATTGAGCCTTAAGTATCACACCACAATATCAATAGCCTTCCTTTAAAATAACTTGTGAAATGTACTCAGAGTGTACTAACAAAGTGCCGTCGTTGATGATCATTTCTTGACAACATAAATGGGCGATGCTTGGGGAAAAAAGAGCAAAATATAGTAGAATCATCCAAGGTAACATGGTTGCGAACAATACGTAATAAGGTAAAACAATTACTGGTATGAAAAGTATTACTCCCATAATTTTAAAGTTTTTTTAAAATTTTTAGTAAGCTATGGCTAATCACATAGATTACTTAAGTCACAACTATAACCAATTAGAAATGGTGCGTATTTTTTTAGTATAAGCTGACCATGCATTTAAGGTAAAAGTTAAACTTTTTATACGGTAACAAGTTACTTTTATTTAACCACTTTCATAGGTTTCTTAATTAAATATTAACTGTTCCCAGTGTTTATAGGAATTTACTTATTACAACTCGATTGAACAAGATGATCGAATCTGTATCCCCAGAATTTTCCTATATAGTAGTTAATAAAACCTAACATCGCATACTGTAATAGGGGTTTTTTCAAGTCTCCCTAGGATAGGGTTGGCGGTGGTAGGAGTTTTGAGTTTGAACGTTTTATAAAAAATGACATTACGAACACACTCCCTTGGCTTGTTAGTCAACCACCTCTGCAGATAAAATTATTGAGACAGGTGGCTATCAGTGAAATTTCTATAGTTAGCGAAACTCTGAGTCTATTTATATACTTTAAGATTCCAAACTATTTTTACAATTCTCAACTGAAAGTAATATAAACGTCATTATTACCCAACAAAGTTAATATTTAACATAACCATAAAGTTGAAATTCTGTAATGTATCTTTGTTTATATCATTAATTAAAGTTTTCTTACATCACCGTTTTTTCTTTTTTTATAGTTTAAGTAAGAACTAGGTAAATTATTTAATCTTGGTTATAGGATTCCAAAAATCTGGTTTACTGTATCCTAAGTGAATTTTTCCTTTTAGGTGTGAAGGGACTTTAGGTTTATTACGCTTTACGAATAATTGTACAGTTTAAGCTACACTAACACCTATAGTTTTACTTGAACTCCTCGAAGGTTTAGCTTAAGTCTATTTATTTAACACAATATATTTATATATACTAGGTAATAACACTATTCTATACAGTTCTCGTACCAAATGCTAGCCACTAGCCTATAGCAACAAGTACTATTTCTAGCGACGAGCCAAAGACAACAAGTGCCAATAGCCTGTATATAGCTACAAGTACTGTATTCACTAGTTTGTTCTTTCCAACCAGCTAGAAACTATACAACTACATACAATATCATATAGTACTAGCTCCAGCGTCCCTCGGACGCGGCATAGTGTCATTGCAGCTACTCACTCTCAGGACCTTGTATGACGAAGCATTCGTCAGTAACTATTCGCCAGAAGCCATAGTATCCATCGAGCTTAGTTTGTTCCGTCAACCTGTTAGTCAATTACACAAGTTGAGTTCCACAGCTCGTCCATTGCTTTTCACTGAGGATTTTCTCCAGACGGCAATTCTAGTATACATCAGGCCAGAGACAAGGTACTTTCGTCCGACAGGTTACCAGGATTCGTTTGCTGTGAAGAACTCATAGTTTCGATGCTAGTACCTGATTTCATCTAAACGAGTACGTCAGGATTGAGATGGGACGACATTCTACCTGATACAGGTTCTATAGAACCTGCTTAATATGAACCTGCTTCCTGCTTAGCTTTTACCAGTTTTAAGAGTAAGTATTTCCACACGTATTGTTCAAAGCCTGCGACTCTCCATGGTAGCATGCACACCTCAACCTAGTCATATCGCGCAGGGCAACCATTAAAAAAGAAACCAAACTTGTTACCTTCAGATGAGTGTATCTTACGACAGAGATCACCTCGCATCAGTTTACTTAAGATATTTTAAACCGAGTCATCTTCAGAGTTCCATTCTAGAGGGTTACTGAACACCACAAGTTTTTATGTCAGTTTACACATGCATGCTAATCCTTTTAAGGATGGTTACACATAGACATTATTCCATGTATTCCAAGTAGGTGGAGTCACCGGGACTAGCCAACGTAGCAGCCGTGTATATATATGGGCTGATTTCTTTCAGCCGCCTGTACGATAACATAACTCAAGACGACACAATGATCTCTAATTCTGTTAAAGTAATGTTATATATTACTTTACGAACGTCTCAATATATGACGAATAGTCAAGGAATTCTAGTACTTCTAATACTACCACAAATAGCAATGACCTAACCAGTTTTCTTTAGTTATCTATTGTTTGAATAACATAAGACTGACCTGTGGAATCAAAGTAAAGTAGCAGATCTCCACATGTTCGAGATGAATTTTCTGCACTCGAGTTTATGTGTTGCTCGATCACAAGTTAACTAGCTCGCTCTCTACATACGGCGGTTTCGAGCTCGTAATTATTCTATATAACATATTCTTCTGGCAAAATGCTAAAAATGCAAAAGTGAAAATCGAAAGTAATGTTAGTTCATTTGCTTCGTAACAATAATTTATATTTTTTATGATTGTGTTATTTAATTTTAGTTTTCATGTTTAAGCTAATTAAGTTTATTTGTTATAAAAATATTTGCAAGGTAACAGAATTTAATGACACTCAAATTTTAACTATATAAATAGTAAAGAGCCCTGCTTGGTTGACATAGCTAAAAAAGCTAAAATGTACAAAAGTTTGCTCAGTCATTTATCAAGGACTTGGTCATGTGTCATAGCCTTGATTATATATTTGTTTATCCCTTATAAAGCTAATGACTTGATTGATTTAATAGAATTAGTTAAATGTCTTTAAGTTAGCTTCCTGAGTGAACGATCAAAGGCCCCTAAAGTGACTTGGGTTATTTGAGGCAGCTTCTTTAACTTTGGAATTCAATTATTTATATTACAGCTGTCCTAGCTAAGAGTCAAACTTTTGATATATTACATGACTTCTAACCTAATTTTCTACCTAACTCTATCAACCTCTTAAGCATGAGTAGATTGAATTTCTCAAGATTATTTTACCTTGAGATAATTGTTATTTAGTTATCTAAAACAGGAAGTAAATTAGCAAAGTTATTTATCTTAGTTGCTTCTCATATCACATGATAAGGCTTTCGTCCATTTTACCTTGCTTGCTGTTGTTTCACGATTGACTTTATTTTAATACTTAAAATCTTCTTTTTGAGATGATAAACAGAGATGCAAATAAATCTGTTAGAGGTAGTTATCAATGTGTATATATACAAATATCAAGCTAAATAATTTACAACCCCAAATGAACTTGAATCAAGATAGAGAGCACTGTCCAGATCTATAGACCAATAGTTAATGCTATAAACTAAGCATTAGATTACTACAACACGTTTTATTCAGGTAGCAGAGTCTAGATTTTTGACTCTGATAAAATTAAGTAAGATTACTTTTTAGTTTTAATATCATTACTTGTATCTTCCTGTTAGATTTGGTAAACAGGTTATTTTGTAAAAGTTATAATTAACTAACTTACAGTCTAGACATGTTAGCTAATTAAATGTTCTAACAAAGTAGAACGAAAACACAAAGGTAGGATAATGGTTACCTCCTTTCTATTACACTTGGATCCCAGGAAGGCAGCCAATTCTGCCTCTGGGACAACTTTTAGTATAAAAGATCGCCCGTAGGGTCTAACAGTAACAAGTAGGAAATCATTATGCTTGCTTTTCGTTCTACTTTGATAGAACATTAAACTAGCCAACATGTCTAGATTGTTAGTTAGTTATACTTAAAAATAACTATTAGCTTTACCCTAACGAAATTCACTTTAGTAAAGTGTTACCTTGAACATGTATAAGTAAAACACTGATACTAATCAATTTGATAACCTGCTGGTTTTCGGGTAAACATAAGCCTATTAGTTATGAGATTGATAGACAAAAGAGAATGAACTCTAATTTGTGGCTAAAGTTACTCAGATAAGATTTATAAATGATTGATAAAAACAAACTAAGCTTAGACACTGAAGCTCAAAATTGTTGATGACAATGGTAGTTAGGTAAACCCTTATTAAACCGTCTAGGGAAATAGCTGGGCTTTAGAAAATAAAACGGTAGTATTTTATCTTTACCCAAATGACTCACTGTGTTAATGAACAAATAAAATAGTAAACTAGCTTGGTTCTTAGCTCATTATTGAATGACTAAATCTTATTTAACTAATTGTTAGATTTTACAATTTTTAGTTTGAAGCCTTCGAATTAAAATGTCAAATTAAACTAGAGAACTTGTATAAATTTTTATATTTTAATGGTTAATCAAACTGAATTTAACTAAACCTATACACTCCTCTGGCCTAGTTATTAAGTGTATAGCATACCTATGTTAAACAATTTAGGCAGGCTCTGTGTTTAGTCATAACTTGAAAAATTTCAGTGCTTCTTTACTACTATGAATTAATCAATTTGCAGTGCTGTCTTGCACTAGTAGGTTACAGCTTTATATACTTTGACTATAAATTGTACTAAAGTTAACTAGAGTAAAATAAAAGTTATTACTTACAGTATAAATATTAGGATATATCATTTTAAAGATTTATACTAAGTTGACTCGTATAAGGCTTAGAATAACTTAAAATTTAAACGATCCTTAACTATCTCGGTTACGGCACCCTTAAAATTTTGTAATTTTCGTAAAAAGTATCATAATCCTGGCTTGTTCACAGTAAGTTAAATAATAGCTTTGTTATTGTCCCAAAGACGCCATTGTAGATAGTTTCAGAATCATTCACAGGAAGGTAATATAGCCC